GCAGACACAACTGGACAGAAAGGCACCCACCAGCATGTGTGTAGACTAGCTAGAAGGCTGGTTGGGTTGAACTAGGCTTCAATGCCCACTGACATGTGTAAGAGCTGAATGAGATATAGAACAGACTGGACAAGTCCGCTGTATGTACTGGCAAGCACAGGTACCAGGTTAGGGGGCAGACCTGGCGGGGGTTATTGGGAGTCGCCCTGACTAGGCTGCAGCTGCATCTCGTTTGTGTGAGGGTTGAGTGTGTGGTGGGCAGGATCAGGCTGGACTGCAACACCCAATGGTTCGTGTGGAAGACAGTACTGGAAACAGAACTGACCAGCATATGTGCAAAAGCTAATTGGGGCAACAAACTCTGCCGGTCCCTATATGAGCATGCACACACAGGAATCAGGCCTGGGATCACCTCAGACGAAGTTTCTTTGGAGATCCCTTCAACTGAGCCGCTGATCTCAGAACCCCCAGAATCTTTGAAGAGAATTGCAAGTTCCATGGTCTGACCATAAAGTGCAAGTGTCATAGCTGAGACTCCTCAGAGGCTCAGACGGAACAGTAGACAGCATATCCAGGTGCACATGGAGGATATGGCAGTACACTGGAGGCTGCAGAGAACACCTGGTACCACAACAGAGGACAGAACAAATCGATCATCTACCCCAGCCAAGCGTTGGCAGTGAAGACATGGGCAAACAGAGACTCTAAGGGGAACTATGTCAGCCAGTGGATTCTGGAGAGATTTCATTGTGTTTGGAACGGCGAGATTGGCAGCAATTCAGAACCGTTGAATTATCAAAATCACTTGAGCAGGACTTTAGAGCATGCCTCATGCTGGGGACCTGGGATGGTGGGAGGCTGGGTGGGGCTTCTCCCCTTATTTTTCCCTTACCCCAGATATGGAAAAAAAATAACAATGTGGAAACAATGGTCTTACCCACTTTCCTGTAGCCCTTGACCCTTTGCGCCCAAATCAACTATGTAAAGATTATCAAAATAAAATAATTTTTAAAATGCAGCAAACCAAACTGAAAACCAGCACAAAGAAGTAAAATTAGAGAAGCAACACAATTGAAACAAAGATAAATAAAATCAGTGAATCAAAGAGCTGGTCTTTTTTTTATTATAAAATTAACACTACAGAGAGGAAGAAGACTCAAATCAATTAAACCGGAAATGAGAAGGGAACTATAACAATCAATTCCACAAAGAATCACCAGAATTACTACAAGTAGAAGCATGCCAATAAATTGGAAAATCTTGGAGAAACAGAATAGATTTCTGGATATATTCAATCTATCAAAACTGAATCAAGAGGACATTGAAAACCTAAACAGACCAACAAGTAGGACAGTTAGTCAATCGTTAAAAGGCTTACAGCAATTAAAATCCAGGACCAGCCAAGTCATCTGAATTCTACCAAGTCTTCCAAGAAGTACTAACTCCAACTGAAAGGGAGGCAACTCTCTTAAAAATCTTCCTACGAAGTCAATATCACTTGTCTTTCAAAACCAGAAAAGCACACATCAAAGAAAGAGAACTACAGACCAATATCCCTGATGTAGGAATCCTCAACGGTACACTTACCTGAATCCAACAGTACATCAGAAAGGTCATTGACCAGAACAAGTGAGATTTATCCCTGTTGTTATACAGGGAATGCCTCAACATAGACAAATCAATAAATGGGATACATCACATTAACAAGCATGAACAAACATGAATCATATGATTATCTCAATAGATGTAGAAAAGCATTTAATAAAACACAGTATCAGTCATGGTTAAAAAAAAAAAAAAGCTTAGTTTAACTGGATAGAGAAGGAACAGCACTCAAAAAATCAAGAGAATACATGAAATACAATGCCAGCATCAAATTGAATGGGGGAAAAGTTGAAGGCGCTTCCACTAGGATCTGGAACCAGACAAGGATGTTCATTCTTACCACTGCTATTTAACATACTCCTGTAAGCTTTAGCCAGTGCTATTAGGCAAGAAAAAGAAATCTAAAGGACATGACTTGAAAAGGATGTAGTCATGTTAGCTATTTTCAAGTGAAATGGTTCTCTAAATAGGGAAACAAAAAGGCTGTACTAAGAGATTGGATTTCCTCTGGGTTTGATGAAGTTGCAGGAGGTAAAATCAATACGTAATTGGCCAATGTATACGCAAACAATTCCATGACTAAGAAAGAACTTTAATGATCAGTTCCAGGCATAATTACTGCAAAAATTATTAAATGCTTTGAAACAAATTTTTGAAATATTTGTTTGAAAGGCAAATTCCACAGAGAGGAGAAACAGAGAGAGAGGCCTTGCACCCATTGGTTCACTCCTCAATGGCTGTAACGGCCAGAGTTGAGCTGATCCGGGGATGAGAAACAATAGTTTCTTCCAGTCGCCCACATGGGTGCAGGGGCGCAAGGACTCAGGCCACTCTCTGCTGCTTCTTTAGGCCATAAGCAGAGAGTTAGATCAGAAGTGGAGCAGCTGGGACTTAAATTGGTACCCACATGGGATGCCAGTACTAACAGGCAAAGGATTAACTTGCTACACCAACATGGCAGCCTCTTGAAATTTTTTTTTTCAAAGATTTGTTTTTATTATGAAAGAGAAATATTGGAGAGAGGAAAGACAGATCTTCTATCTGCTGACTCATTTCCTAAAAAGCTGCAAAAGCTGGAACTGAGCAGACCTGAAGGAAGGAGTCAGGAGCTTCTTTCCAGGTCTCCCACATGGGTGAAGGCACACAAGGACCTGGACCATCTTCCGCTGCTTTCCCAGGCCATAAGCAGCGATCTGGATCAGAATTAGAGCAGCCACTGCCCCAGATGGGATACTGGCACTTGTAGGAATAGGATTAGCCTGTGATACCACCATACCAGTTCCCTCCTTGAAATAAATTCAACCAAAGATGTGAGCTATCTCTATTCTGAAAATTACAGAACATTAAAGATATTGAAGACATGAAAATATGGAAAAAATCTGTCATATTCCTGGACAGGTAAAATTAATAGAAGCAAAATGTTCATATTACCAAAAGTAATGTACATACTCAGTTCTTTCCACACCGAAATATCTACAACGTTCTTCCCAGAACTAAGAAAAAAGGATGCTACAGGTCATATGCAAACACAAGAGACCCCGTACAATTAAAGCAATCTTTAGCGACAAAAACAAACCTGGAGGTAACAGAATATCGGACTTCAAGAGATCCTACCGGAGGTTGTAATCAAAACAGCCTGGTATTGGCATAATAACACAAGGAACAATGCAAGACAGAGGCTTCTTACCCAGAAGCACAGACAATGAGAGCAAAAACAAACAAATGGGATTGCATCAAGCTAAGAAGCTTCTGCATTGCAAAGAAACCACCAAGGTAAAACGGCATTCAACAAAGGGAGAAAATATTTGCAAACTGAATAACTGAGAGAAGATTAATAATCCAAGATTTATAAAGAAGTCCAGAAACCCAACAACAACAAATCAAATAATTCCATGAAGAAATGGGGAAAGACACGAACAGGTGTTTTTCAAAGGATGAAATTCAAAAGGCTAATAGGCATATGAAAAGAAAAGCAGTCAGGGGCTTCAGCCAATAGAAAAACGCAAATAAAAACCACAATGAGGTCCCACCTCACCCCAGTGAGAACGGCTATCGTACAGAAATCAGAAAACAAGAAATCCTGGTGAAGACATGGGGGAAGAGTAACCTAATCCACTGCTGGTGGGAATGCGAGTGGGTGCAGCCACTGTCTCAGACTACTCAGACACATGAACACAGAGCTACCGTACAAACTGGCCATTCCACTCCTGGGAATAAACCCAAATGAAACGAAACCTGCATGTGAGAGCCATCTGTACCTCCATATGTATAGCAGCACAATCCAGAATAGCTAAGATATTGAATCAACCCAGATGCCTATCAATGGATTAAGAAAATGTGGTACATATATATGATGGAATATTAGCCATAAAAAAGAATGTGATCTTGTCTATTGCAACCTAATGGATCCAGCTGGAGACTATCATGCTGAGTGAAATAAGTCAGTCTCAGAAAAACAAATATGTTCTCTATTACAATGAATACACAGAGCAGACACACACACACATACACACACACACACACACACACACACCGGTCAGAAGTGAGTAAAAAGTGCAATTAGCATTTTGGGAATTACAGTAGTAAAATAGTACAAATTTGTAACTGCATTACTTTCCTCAAGTGAAATTTTCCATATTGATCATAGCTCAGGCATACAGTGATAATTAAGATTTATGCTCCAAAATGTGCTATGTGAAATGCCAGAAAGTACATTTGCATTTAGCAGCAAAGACTTTGGGACAGATGATCCTCATTGGATAGTACATGCTAGACCAGAGAGCTGGAAACAAGACTCAATCATTCGCTTTGTAATTGTGCGTCCACTGTTTTGTTTTTTCAATAGGCACATGAGTGAGACATAATCTTGAATCCTTTGGTTCAGTCACCAAATGGCTGCAATACCTAGGGGCCAACACTTCCCAGTAGGCACCTCGCCCTCTCTTATGGCTTGCGTGGCAATAGGAAGACTTGGCAGGATTCTAGAATTGTCGGGGTTCCCAGTGCTAGGCTCCTGTCACATTCAAACATACTAATGGTACAATCTGGAGTCAGCTGGGCTTCTCACACTGACCTCGTCATGAGGGACAGAAATGGAAAAAGGGCACCTGGACCAGGTCCCTCCTGATGACTTCTCCAGATTAAATCTAGGAGTCATGGAACACTAGGGTTCTAGAATGCAAGCTGTCTGAAGACCGGGGTCTGTGCTTTGCTCAGCGTGCGGCACAAAGTCCGCATTGCATAAGTATTTTCCAAATAAGTTTATGAATGAACAAGTCTGCTCAGCCAATAAACTTGAGACAAAGACAAAAATAAAACATGAAGAGGAAGATTTAACAATGCTGTACAGGGAGCTTTCTCTTCGGCTAATGGAAAAGACAAATTATTTTGACTACCTCAAGCAGAAATCTGTCTCGTTGGTCCTTGATAAATTCACGAACTGTCTTTTTTGTGTCTGCACCTACAAAAAAAAATTGAAATACTCAGGTTTAGTTCAGTACCCTTCAAAGATAATGAATAAAATAAAACTAAGCAACTGAATTATTGCACAAAGTATATATCTGGACTAAAAATAAAGTTTATGCCTTTAAATACTTTTTCCCAAATCACTCAAAAAATCTATTTAGCAGTGGGAATTTGACACAACAGGATGGCTTGCCACTGGGGATGCCAGTGTTTAAATCAGATATGGGGCCCGGCACAGTGGCCTAGCAGTTAAAGTCCTTGCCTTGAACGTGTCAGGATCCCATATGGGCACTGGCTCTAATCCTGGCAGTCCTGCTTCCCATCCAGCTCCCTGCTTGTGGCCTGGGAAAGCAGTAGACGATGGTCCAAGGCCTAGGAACCCTGCACCCACGTGGGAGAGCTGGAGGAAGTTCCTGCCTTCAGATCAGAGCAGCTGTGGCCATTGTGGTCACTCGGGGGAGTGAATCAGTGGACGGAAGATCTTCCTCTCTCTATAGCTGACTTTGCAATAAACATAAACAAATCTTTAAAAAGAAATAAACCAGATATCAGGATGTATCTGATATATACATCAGGATATCAGAATACCTGGTTTAAATCCTGGCTACTCTGATTCTAGCTTCTTGCTAACGCACATCCGAGAGAGGCAGACGATGGCCCAAGCACCTCAGCACCTGCTCGGTGAGGGAAATCTGAATGCTGTTCCAGGCTCCCCCTGGTGGTAGCCTGAAGCAACCACAGCTGTTGTGATCTGGGGAGTGAACCACTGGATGGAAGAACTGTCTCTCCAATAAAAAGAAAATCAATACAAGTAGTTTAAAAACTGACTTAAGTATATAAATTGCCATTTATTTCATGTCCTCATCCTCCAGGAACTCTGACACTTTGAATATATCAGTTAATCTTAACAACCCAAAGTACTTTTTTCCTGTACTGCTCCTGTCTGGGAGGCCATCAGGCTTTGTGGGGTCAGAGTTCTCATGTAAGGTCACGCAGCTATCAAGTGACAGCAAAGAGGAGACTCCTTCGAAGGCATCACCACCCTCAATGAGACTGGATTGTTTGAAACACTCATGTTTGACCTAAACAGTAAACCAAAGTCCTTACTAAAAATGTTACAAGATTTCTTCATTCTAGAAAAATCAATCATATGCTACATTTAAATTATGTTAGCTCTGTGGGAAAACAAGAGAATACAGTAAAGAATGAAGTATCCAAGTGGAAATACAAACAGAAGCACAAATAATGTTTTCCAAACAACTAGCAATTGCTACTCTAAGAGGCCTGCAGTTCGCCTGGGTCAAAACTGGTTCCCACCACTTGTTAAAAGTTAGACATGTAAACAACATATTAAAAGTAAACAACATATCCTCCTGTTGCCTCTGTTCTCATTAGGATAAAGTGGCTCATAACTGGGAGAGTTTAACTGTCCCTTCATCTGCTGTCAGGCTTAACCACTGATGACTTGATCCATGGAACGTGACTGGAAGGATCTATGTCACTTCCAAGCAGAAGCTCAAAGATCCACCTCCCTTTCTCCCTTTGCTTGAATCCTAGCGATGGTCCAGAGATCACCCCTTCAGCAAAAGGTCCTTCAAAAGGCGCCAGTGTTGAAACCGAAATGAACATTAAACCTTTCCTATTGGAAGCTGCTGCAATCCACAGTGTTTCATCACCTTCACACCTAAGACGGCACAGGACTCCATCACGCTGATGTGAGCAAGAGATTACAAAACACATTGCAACTTCTCAGTCTTTGTCATCTGTTGTTACCGAAATGATACAACTGGAAAGAGTAACTGTTTAATTTCTCAAGGTCAATTTTAAGGGAAGAAATGCTGACGGTAATCATTAATAACTATTAATTGGGAGGTAACGAGTGACAAGTTTTGGAGCCAAACAGGCTAAGCGGTTTGCACTAGCTGCAAGGAGGGGCAAAACTATTAGCAAAACTTTGTTGTGGGTTAAATGAAATACACAGGAAAGCAGTCAGGCTTAGCACACAGTTCCCTTATAACCCTCTATCATGGAAATCACCCATGTTCATAGAAGTTGAGAGTCACAGAGAGCCCTAATGTCACCTTCTATGACACTGCCAACGTTTTATGTCTTCACTTTTGTCCTCCCTGGAATGTTTTATTTTTAAACAATTATTTTTATTGCAAATATACAGAGAGAAAGAGACACAAAGAGGAAGATTTTCCATCTGTTGATTCACTCCCCAAGCAGCTACAACATCTGGAGCTGAGCCTATCCTAAGCTAAGAACCTGGAGCCTCTTCCGGGTCTCCCACATGGGTGCAGAGTCCTGAGGCTTTGGGCCATCCTTGACTGCTTTCCCAGGCCACAAGCAAGGAGCCGGATTGGAAGCAGGGCTGTGCTGGGATTAGAACCAGTGCCAATTATGGAATCCCAGCGCAAGCAAGGCGAGGACTTTAGCCACTAGGCTACCATGCCAGGCTCCCTTCCTGGAATATTTTAAACAAAATTCAAGCCTCCCTTTAGTATACAATCATGCCACCCTTTAGTATATACAATGCCACCAGTGGGGGGTTCCCCAGCCATGCCATACCCAGAGCTGGGGCTTTAGGCAGCAGTGACCAAGTCCTAGGCTTTCTCCAGGCCTGAGAGATCTCTTCCCTCAGGGTGAATACACCATGAGGGAAACTTGGGAACTGGATTAAGGTCCTGGCTCTGCCACTATCATCTTGCAGCAGGAAGAGTTTGGGCAGTGTTCAGTCACGGGGTTTGGGCAAAAGCAGCTCCCTGCAGTGTGGTGGCTGTGGGGGGTGCCCCAGCCAGGCGGACCCAAAGCTGGGGATTCAGGCCAAAGTCACTGCTGACAGGCTGTGATTGAGTCCTAGGCTTTGGGTAGCCAGTGTGCCTACTGAGCGTTAGGCTCTACCTGCTGGCCTCCCGGAGGCAGTTCTGGGTTTTTAGGATATGTAATTGCTGCCTAGGGACATCTGTGGAGGCCAGTGTGAGGAATGAATTCTGGGTGATTCCCAGCAATGGGATCATGGAACTTTTGGGCGAGCGTAGGGACTGAAACCTGGTGGTTTGGAGAGGGGAGTTCATAAGATCTATTTGGACCAGACTGATTCACCAGCCCAAATTGGAATCCTGAGATGGGCTGTTAGCATAGAACATCACTGACTGCCACACACCAGTCCACATGAAAGCTATGGTTGGGGGACTGTCTGGCAGGGCTAGGTACCAGTACCTGACTGAGTGGTGGAACTGAGAATGGGTCACACTTGGCAGGGTCAAGACACTAACCAGCACATGAGAGAACCAGGTCCAGGGGTAGATTCTGTGGGGGAACTGTGGGCCCAATCCTGTGGAAATACAAGTCCCACTGGTTAGCTCACGAGCTGGGGTGGTGATGGGCTGAACTAGCTGTAACCATGGAACTTGCCATCACTTACAGGTAAAGGAACCAACAACAGTCTGGGCAGGTCAAGCCAGCAGCACCCAAATGTGCATCCTAAAATAGGATGTGGAGTGGGCCGAGCTGCAACTGGAGGGGGCGGACCAGGCAGGGCCGAGCAAACCTCAACTCATAAGGAAGAACAGAAATCAGGAGGTCATGCCAGGTCATGCCAAACTAGGCTCTTACACTGATTGGTCTGCATGAGCCAGGGATACTAGGCCACAGCATCAAATGCAAAGGCTGAGACAGGTGAGAGGCTAAGCCAACTGGGTCAGAGCAACCACTGGCTTGCACTTAATCAGGGCTGGGAATACGCTCACTTGGGGAGCTTTGAGAGTACATCCTTGCAGGGTTGGGATTCCCACAGGAGAGTGCAGGAGCTGGAGTTGGGGCTGTGTTCTGGTCTGGATATGGCTACAATTCCTTTAGCACAAGTGTGGACTGGGGCTGGGTACACCTAGCCAGGCTAGACTCCAGCACCATCTGGTGCTCTGGAGAACCTGGGTAGATGTAGGATGGACTAGGCTAGGTCTCTGTTCCTACTGAGCCATGTATGAGCAGTGTCTGGGTATGGACAAGTCTTGGCTGGGCTGAAACATCCAACAGTAAGAACCAGAATGGAGTAAAGGCCAGTCAGGAAAGGCCACATTCCTACCAGGACAGGAAGTAGACTAAGTAGGGCTGGCACATTGACCCAACAATATGCACAAGATCTGGCATAGGAAGAGGTTCTGATGGAGGAGCTTGGGAAACTCCTCAGGCAGGACACAGTCCCTGCAGGTGAGCGCAAGAACCAGGATAGGGAGTAACACAGACCAGGCTAGGGAAAGATACCCACTGGCATACATTTGGCATAGGTCGGAGGCAGACCAGGCTGAACCAGTTCACATTACCTGCTGGCTTATCTGAGCACCAAAACAGAGTGTGGGTAGGGCCTGGTATGGGCACAACACAAACCAATACACATTACAGAATGCCAAGGTGAGGGGGGCCGTACCAGATGTGGCTGCAGTGCCCAAACAGCACATATGAGAACCAGGGAGCGAGGGGGCAAAGGCGGCAGGTGGAATGTGAGCTCCCCTGCTGGACAACCATTCCCACTGGAGAGCCTGAGTTGGGATGAGGGTAGACCAGACCAGGCAGGGTTAAAACATCTGTGGGCCTCATGTGAGCTGAACAGGGAAAAGCCAGGTTCGGCTGACTGTTCTGACTGGGGCAACCAAAGATTAGAGTGGGTGAGGGTTGGTTGGGCTTTACCGTAGCATCAGCTGGCAGAGGCTGGCACTGGGGGCAAAATCTGTCAAGTTAAACTGCAGAACCACCTGGAAAGTGCATCATCATGGAGTGGGAGTGGCTTAGTAAGGAAATAGTGGGCACCTCCCTCTTGGGTTACCACTCCCACTGGAAAGCACGAAAACCAGGACAGGAATAGATGCAACTGGACAGAAAGGCACTCGCTGGATAGTAGGGTTGGGTTGAACTAGGCTTCAATGTCACTGACATGTAGGAGAGCTAAATGGGATGTGGGACAAAGTCTGCGGTGCAAACTGGCAAGCACTGCAA